ATAAACCTCTGCTCTAGGCTCGTCTCATTTCTTAGGGAGTTTAGATGGTTCCAAAATTTCGCAGCTGCCTGCCTTTTCTATCTTTTTCATGCACTTCTGCCAGCCACTGGGCTCCCTTTCTTCTAATCTTTTCATTGATCAGAAGGGATGCATCCCTTCTACAGCTTAGAAAGATTTCCCATTTTCTTTCAACATCACCTGTCGGTTCACCCCGCTGCTTAGCATGTCTGTGTTCCCTAGAGGCTTCCTGACGTTTTGCTATGGCTCTCTTAACTTCCTCATCCCACCAAGTTTTGGGTTTATGTCTTCTTTTCCGGGGTGACTTGTCACATGCCTTAGCAAGCTCTAGCTCAAACAATCTAATTAGATTCGTGTAAGTTGACACTGTTTTATTATCCTCAGTGATTACTTTCTCGCTTTGTTTAGTGGCTATTTCAATTTGCCTTTCTGAATAAAAATTTTCCTGTAGTTGCTCATCTTGTCTCCTTCCCACTTTCACTGCTCTTCCAAAACTTAGCTTGATACATTTGTGATCACTACCCAGACTTCTGGAGCCACCTTCATCTATGTGCATTCCCCTGAGCTTATCATACATCCTATGTGACATCAGTGCATTATCTATCGTCAACTGTAGCCTTCCTACCTCCCATGTTATTTGCCCTTCACACTTTTCGGTACTGTTACAAATGATCAAATCAAGCCTTTCACACATATTCATGATCATTTTGCCTGTCGAGTCGGTATACCCGTCTATATCTTCTATGTGTGCATTCATATCTCCTAGTATAATTATCTCGCTCTCTCTTCCCAACTCCTGAATGTCCTTTGATATACACGCTACCATCGCCTGTTTTCCTCTCTGGCCGTTTCCCTCCCATCCACAAGTACACGAAACCAAGGAGTGTCATTTGCCCCTGCCACTTTCTCCCTTTTAGGAGCCATAAAATGTTTCCCTGCAGTTACTGACCGCCCCTGCCAGTCTGTACTTTTATGAAGAATGCCCCAATACCACCCCTTTCTGCTGTCTTCTGTTTCTCATTTACATATGCCCACGCGTAGTCCGAATTGGTTTGGGAGGTTGTTCCATGTCCCTGAGATGTGTTTCTACAAAACCGTATACCATCGGCCTCTCTTCCCTTAGCTGTTCTTCTATCTCTTCCCACTTCAGCTTGTTCCTACCACCTGCATGGTAATATACCTATGTCTGAATTGGCTCAGCGCTCGTGGCTACGTCTATTTCTGCCCCGGACTCTACCTATCTTAGATACTGGTGCCACTTTGGAAACGTATCTGTCCATACCACTGTCAAAGAGTCCCCCTGGTTGTTTTCCTCGTTACTATAGCTATAATGCACCCCGAAGGGCCCATTTGCCCCCCCAAAAAAGCTACTGCATGTCTGCAAGTCGCCAACCTACTCATGACTGGCCGCCCATTCGAAGTGAATTCTGTCTCGTTGAAAACCACCCACCTATGCACCTCTGTGTTTATTTCCACCACTCAAAGCCTTTCCCTCGACTCATCCGTCATATCTCTTGGTTTGCGTTGACAACCGCTCTTTGCAGGTTGCTTCACGCACCGGTACCTCCGGTATCGTGCATATCACTACATGTACCTGAGGAGAAGTGGCGCGCATGTCGTCGACGCCTTTCGCCAGTGTGGTTGCTAGTCCTGCTGTATTTTCATTCAAGACATCGTTTAAACCGCCTGAATTTATCACGAGGTTTCGTCTATCAGCAGTAGTTTTGAGTTTTGCGCTCACTTGCCTCATGACTGCTTCCAGCTTGCGTCCTGGGAACGCCCCTACTGCAACCCTCTTGTCACCTCTTACCCTCTCTTTGATGGCTTCTGTGCATCGATTTAAATTCGAGTCCCCGGCGATTATCACATTCTGTGAATTTTCAGCTGGAGTGTCCTGCACCTGGGGACTACTTGCACCTGTGAGGCTGGCTGCTCTGTCCCCTCCCAGCCCCACCACTACTTCGCTGAAGCTGGGCCTTGCGACAGTTGAACCGGCTGAACCTGTTTTTTCCAAACTTGCTTGCTCTTTCTTCTCCGCCATTCTGGTTGCCGGTTCTCTACTGTTCTCTGCGTAGGCTGCTCCTCTGTTCACCTTGGCTAGTGCTTCCTCGGCGGACTTCAGCCTTTCTCCCATTGCCCTCGTTTTCTCTTGCTCTGTCGCCAACGCAGACTCGAGCTCGGCGATTCTCATCAGCAGTTCACTGTGGGTAACCATCATTTTCTCCATTTTTTTTCCTCGACAAACATCATTTTCTCCACTTTTTCCTCGACCTCACATTGCCTACACTTCGCGTCATTCTCTTCTCTATCCGCTTCTACAACTGGGTCCACTTTCAAACCCACTCCAATCCTGAACACTTTACAGTCTTTTTAACTATGCCTTTCTGACACACCAATTGTCCCTATACTCGAAAATTACTAAACTCGAGCCCTCTCTACAAAAAAAAGAAAGTCTAAGCTCTACTACAAAAATTTGCGTGTTCAATGTACGCGCACCTCCCCCAATGGGTGGCGAAAGAAAAAAAAACTACAAAAAATTCAAACACACACACACGCACTAACTAATAAATACCTGGTGACTGGCCCTCGAAAAAGCCGTACCATAAATGTGCTACGAAGATTTCAACTGCTGCCTTACAATTATAAAGACAAGCTCAAAACATGCAGAAACACTTATCTGCACAGTCGATAGGGAGCGCCCAAAAAACACGTCCATCCACCGTGACAGTCCGAACCGATCTGCATCCGAACCATCCGAACCGATCGCTGCATCACCGCGCCCTGCGGCCAACCGCTCACAGCGCACAAAGCTCTCCCGTAGAGTTACGGCGAAGCTTCACGACCAGTAAAGGTATTAAATGGCTGTGGTATATAGTAAAGCAAAGGGGAAAGAGAAGTGAGAGTGTCGAGGAAGAATATGAGGAAGGAAGGGGGGTAATGCAGAGCATAACTTCAATGGCCTTGTTTAGTACAATATAGAAAGGCGATTGGTAAGGTAAGGTGGGGCGAGGAGGGTGTGTGTGGGTGAGGATGAGCAAAAGGAGGAGGGTAGAGCCACCAGTTCCATTGGTATGGTGGCCTTCTCCTCCTCGTTACCCCAATTTGCTGAAAGCATACTTGGCCACTCTTTCTTGACAAGTTATAAGATTTACGAAAACATCATCGAGAACCATTCGTGCACTTTCGGGCAACCTGCAGGCAACAAAACGCTCAAAGGACCCTTCGAGTCCTCTTAAAACGAGCGCATTATCATTATATTTTAAAGATGATAGTCGGACCTTCAACGCAAAAATTTTGGGCTGTCTGTCTGTACATTTGTCTGTTTGTCCACTCTTACCAGCATTGAGTACTTGAAACATCACCCCATCCGCCAGCGACCACCAATGTTGCTCAAGGTTGGAGCGTTCATGCTTGTGCAATTGTCAATTAAAAATCAATTATTGCGCATGTCTGTGGCACCATAACAACACGCATTATATTTTTCCTCGGGATCGTCAATCTTACTTGGTGTTCCATTTATGCTGTAACCAGTATCGGCCCGTTTGAGCGTTAGATGGCTAGGAAGTAATCGTTGTATTACACAACCCCTGACTACAATTATCGACGAAGTTTTCCACTTAAGAGCGGCTGTAAGCCATGGCGACTGTTGGAAAGGGAAACGTATTAGTTGGAAATAAAATGACAAGGAATGGCAGTCAAGTAGCATATCTATACCGGCTCAGCTGTTTCCTGACCGTATTCGTAAAGCTGTTTCTTGAACTTAAAAGTCGCATATGCCCGTGACACCATATTGGCTCACTTCTTATTGGACTTAAACATCCATTTCGGCTACGCGTATCACGCCATCTAAAGGTTATCCGTTACAGAAGAATGACTAAACTTGACACGCAATATGTCTGCCCTGAATCGATAAGACTGAATCTAAAGTAATGAGTTACGGAGCACATTTGGAACATTTTTTGTCGGCGAGTTACAGTTAGCGTCACAGTTAGCACAATACTACCAATTGTTGATGAGACCCTTCAATCCATAGACGTTCAACATTAGAGGTTATAGAAGAACTAAGCCAGCAGCCATCGTAAAGTCTGGGAATTGAGGCTAGCCTGCCACCTAAGCGCGGGCTTTTTCGCCTATTGCGGCCATTGTTGTCCTAACATGACTGTCTCTCCTCCACGTTCCATCAGCGCTGGGAGAGAAGGAGTAACGTTAACTTCTTTGAGAGCAGTGCTGTGTACTTTTACGTTGCGCTCAGTGCCTTGGTTGCCCGAAGACGCGTATGCAGTGGCGTTCGTCACGCGAGGCAATGGTGAACGCGGGCCTGTTGCTCACTAAGACCAAACCCACGTTAATGGTCGTACTCCTTCGGCATAAGTGTACACTACACTGGCGCCCAAAGTACACTGCAAGATGAAGATGTAGATTGTGGACTTCTGACTCACACGCACTCAGGGAGATCGGCAGAGGATAGTAACGTCATGATCGAACGTTTTCGCGACCTCTTCTCCTCCACCTTTTCTGGCCGGTTGTGTTCATTATATTTTCTAAATTTGTGGCACTTGATCAAAATCAAGTCTCAGGCTAAATTGCTGCGTGTTACAGCTACATATTCCATTTACACTTTTGCAGGTATATATGCACTTGAGCAAACAATTTATGTTGAGACTTCATGCAGATGTCACTCTCAGTTGAAGTTTGCTTACACCTGATGAAAACAACAGTAAAATGGTTATCATGGTATGTATTATTAGATTATGAGAGATATATGTACGAGTGACTTATTACGATTAGCCTGAAAATGTTTTAGCAATACGTACAATGTGAGCATGGATAGCAATCAAGCTACAGTATGTGGGAAATACTTTGTCTCACTCTTTCTGTGCTAAATTTGTGTTCAACACCTCCAATGAAACGCGTTGCTTTGTACAAATGCTTGGTGCGCTACAAAACACAGTTATACATGCGCACATACAGAGAGCATTTACCTGTGTGGTCTTAGCAAGTTGAGGTGCTGTTCTTCATCTGCCACAAACCCTTTCACTGCAAGAGACACAATAAATTGATATTCAATTCGGGAGCTTCCCTATAAAGAAAAATACGTTTTGCATGAGCAGTGTTTCAGATATTCTCTCAAGATTCTGCATTTGCATAAGCATTGTGGGGCAAGCAAATGAAACTGACATGAATAAGTAACACAGTTCGCTAAAACATCAGACGTAAATTATGGAATTCAAACATCCAACTTTTTTCCCCGCTACCGACGGTGAAGGCAGAAACATAACGCGATGACCGTAAGGACTGAGGCTGTAGCCAGTGTGGGTGGTGGAAGATACAGACAACGCTAGAAAAACTAAGTACGGGTTTTCAATATTGACATTGTACTCGTAACATTACGCGTGTAAAAACATTATACTAGTAACAACCAAAATACTGCTCGGATATTACACGAGTATGTTGTTCGGAGTTGGTCGCAAAAGTTTGACAGATCCCACACCTTGTGGGAATCGTTTCATGCGAACCAGTCGGGGAATAATCATTTATGCTGCATTGTACTGGCTTTTTGTCCAGCGTTAGGAGATGCATCAATCTTCTTTTATAAGTGGTAGTACTTATGTGCACATCATGACTTTACCAGGAAAGTTCATTACGCTGCAGCTTGAAAGATAAATTACGCTTTGACGTAACGTCAGCCCTCCCACTGACGCCAATATTATTAAAGCAAAGTGCACTCTACGACCCGATGATGTGATTTTTATCCGTAACTTTCATGAGCGTATTCTCTGGAGTCGAGAAACATGTATAGAGCTTGCCGAATCATATCAATGCAAAATCTAATGTTTTTAGACTGCTATAAAAGTAATCTGGCGCTGAAAGCACAATTGACGTTAACCTTACATACGCCTGTATTATAGGAGTATTTATATAGTGTGTCGTTGCTTTGTTTAAAATTGCATAAGCAGCATTGCAACCATAGACAACTGGTCGTTGCACCAACATCAGTCTGTTATGGCTCTGGAAAGAGAGCCTAAACAGGTCTGATTCTAAACAGCTAAAGAGCCTTGAACAGCAAAGCATTTCAAAGTCGGTGTGGCTCTGTGGTATAGAATACCCGCGTGTCACGCGGACGCTTGGGTTCGATTCTTCTGGATCTTGTTTTAGGAAAAAAGATCCTCTTAGTCTAACAGATGGACAAACAGGCAGACAGACGGACGCATGGACAGACAGACATACTGAAAGACAGATGACCGAAGACAGTTATAGACGACAGGTAGACCAGGTGTACGAACGGACGGACGCTTTCGCCCAACTCATCATCTTTCACTCCGTGGATATGCCGCGATTTTTTTAATCGTATCATTTGTCGAGTCAACGCTGGCGCTGTCTGTTTTCGGAAAGCTCTCGCATTTGAATTACCGGTGTCTGCTCTCGCCGTTCTGTGGTCGTATAAAGTCTCAATCACCTCCAGCGCATACTGTATACCACTGCCGTGGTATACGGTTAGTTGCCACACATGTCTTGAGGAAAAGGTTTGACAATCTAGCGTGACAGGATCTTTATGTATGAGCAACAGACATGTTGATCAAGCTCTCCTTATCTTTCACACGAATTTAGTCTTCAGCACAAAAAAAAAGATGATCACGGGAATGCCCATACGTAGGTAGCTAGAGGAAGAGAGAGAGAGAGAGAGAAAGAGATAGAGAAGCTTGTTTACAGAAAGGCGGAGAGGTCGGCCTGAGCGTGGGCCTGCTCTAGCCTGCTACTCCACACTGGGGGACGAGAAAGGGGAAGAGAAAGAGTATACGATGACAATGGTGAAATAGAGGTGAGTATACACAATTCTTTCCAGCTGAAAAAATGTTATAGCCGTTCATATGGCCTATAGTTGCTTTTAAAGAGGCCATAACCGTTCTTACGACCACAGTTGCACTGTTGGGGGTCAGGCCAAGGGCGCAACACGATCTAATCAGTTAGCTACTGCGAAATCGTTCAGTACAAGAAATGTGTGCCGTTCACGTGCGTGTGCTGGGCAATCACAAAATATGTGCTCAAGTGTTTCTGGCACATCACAGTGTTCATAATGGGACCAGTGGCACTGCGGACAATGATATGTGCGTAGCTTCTTGTGTACGCCACACTAATACGAATGCGGTGGATCGTATTTGCTATGTGCCACTCCAGTTTAGGAGACATGCGGAACCTCAATTCCGGTCCCATTTGTGAAATCCCCGGCGTAGCCCTTCCGGTTCGGTCCAGTGCTAAAGGTACATAGAAACAGTGAAAGTGCTTTAGGTCCGCTAAGAAATGCTTCACGTTTAATATATGCAGAGCATATGTATACTTTGGCACCTCATCGTAATGTCTTTTGGTGATGATAATATAGCTGAAGGCTCAAATGATCAAGGTTCGCAGTCCAGTAATTGCTACCTCCGCGCATCGCGCATCGCTTTAGCGTCAGTTCTCCACGATAAGCACACGAGAAATAAATGATGATCTAAAGATCCGGCTGAATACGCCTGCTTAAAAGTGACACATATCAGTGGCAGCCAGTAGCTGCTCTTTGGACACGACTCGCCGTCAAAAACGCAAGGTAGACTTCTACCAAGAAGGCGAAGAAAAATCCTAGCATTGCGCCATTTAGGAAGCTCAACAAATGTAAGGCAACGAAGGCTAACCGACTTGTTGCAGCAGCTCTGGGACAGCATTGACGGTGAGGCAATACATCGCCGTCTTTCAAAGATCTGCCGCTGCGTGAATGGCATGCCCCTCTCAATGTTCAACGACGGACGATTTGGAAATACGCTCACGTCGTGGCGTCGCCACCATGTCTCAGCTTGTTTCATCCGCTGTTGCCACCCGAGATGCTTTTCTAGAGATTAAGCAGCAGTAAATAATACAGCCTATAGTGTAGCAAAGAATAAATCTTTACTTTCTTCGCTTCACCCAATCTAAAAGTCGTTTTTGAACTTGTACATATAAAATATACTTAAGTGATTTCATCTGCTACCGTGATTAACTCTATTTGGTCCTTACTGAACAGCGCTGGAGTTATTGCGATATTGTTCATGTACGTCGTACTCATTGATCGTTTTTATACTTCAGCCATTGCTGTAGTTGTTGTATAACACTGATTTATTGCTGCTTTCCTTGTCATGTGCATACGCTGTCTTTAATGCATGCATTCTTCTTCGTAAATCGCCCCGCAGTCTTCGCGCTCTGGACACGAGTTCATAAGATGTCTCTCTCGTTTGGGTATCACCACTTAGCTAATAGGCAGTTTCGGAATAGGCTGCGCAGATATTTCGTGCGCACGCGATTTCCGCCTCTTAACGTGGGTACATGATAGGATAGCGTGCCAGGCATGCGCATAGTGGTGACAAACTCTAACGCAAGGCTTCGCCTACTCTCTACTAAAACTCTATCGTAAACTTGAAACTTAAAATGCAGGCTCGCCCGATGACGAACAAAGGGAACGTTGTCGTGCATAAAACTACCATACGCAGTGAAAAGACGATCGAAAATATTAACGCATTGCCACGCTTCAAATTATGCAGCACGGGAGATGCCGGCACGAGATGCTGTCAACAGGGTCACAGCGGTCCATGCGGAAGCAGCCGACGAGGTACGTGAGAACGTTTAACGCCTGTGTAACTTCACGGATCGGCGGACAGGCGATGAGATCACGCGGAACGGTGAATCTCTCGCGGCGGCTAGTTTCAATCGAGCGAGTCAAACGAGGCATCGCGGGCCTCCAGGGTATAGAAACCCCATAGCGCCTCTCCAAGCTTTCAGAACGAGGACACGCTCGCGCAACGTCACCAGCAGCAGAGCGCACGCTCCGCGTGAGGCATTCGTTTGGCAACCACAGCTTCGTACATGCCGTGTGTAACTCGGTATCCTCATCGCAAGGGCCATAGTGCCTGCAGTCACATGGGACAACACATTGAAAGAAGCTGTTCAGTTGCGATTTTTATGGCAGCTGGAATTTAAGGCCGCCTACTTGCCCATGGTAACAGTGACGCCTATACCGTTGATGCTGCAGCTCCCGACGGAGTTTGTTGGATTCATAAGTTCACGCTGCCACGTACACTGGAAAATGTTGACTTGTGATGAGCGTTACCGCCAACTGGTTGCAATAACAATTAAAGTACAACTGCATTGCCAAATATTGTGTTCCAAAGCAATGTTGTCTCGTCGTTGTGGCTGTTTGGAATACGGTAGCTAAAAGTGCAGGTTATGAAGTAAGCCTTTATTGGGAGAACTCGCGTCAAGCTAAACAAAGAGCACCCACAGTTTAGCAATACTTCGTGGCACAGCTGTCGAACACTTAAACGTGATATCTCCGTGGAACGTGCCTGTTCCTTGCACATGCGTCATAGTTATAGGGGTTGGAAAACTTCTACCACTTCTCACATCGCAAGTATATTTTCGTTAGATTCAGCAACAGCACCCCATGATCTCAGGTAATACTCCAGGATCTGCAGAATAGTACAAGCTAAGGTCTCCAACGCTAAGAACTCCGCGGCCCCGAATGCTCATGAAAGTCATTCGTCCAACAAGGGAAGGGCTTCGCACGAAAGTATATTTTGTTAAGTCAGTAGTTAATGCGGCCGCAGAAGCAGACAGAAAATGACGGAAGCCTTCAACAGGCAATGCATGGTCTACATCCTTATCCTTATACGTATCTACAGATTAAGAAGCTGACCCCCGCTTGGCTGCTTCTTCTTATGTTCATAACTGAAGCGTCCAACGCGAGCGGCTGTGTGCCACGCTCACGTTATTTTTCGTGAGGCGCGACAGCCTCACACTCCCGTAGGGGCAACAGAGGCCCGACCATCGCCGTGACCTTCCGGCATGCTCTCAAAGACCTCAGCGCACGTTTTGCGAGCTCGACTTGAAAGGACGTCCACTTCCTCACGAGTGCGAAAGCCCAGACAAGTGCTCCGAGAAAGGGCTCAGCCTATGGGCGTTTCAGGAAGCCGAATCGATGTCGTGGAAGTTATTACGCCAGTGACGGCGGTCTAATTAGAGGCAAGCCCTCG